CACTTGCTAAGTCCCATGATCTTTGAAGTGCTCCGGATCCCCTGGGTTCCTTATTCGAAGTATAGTGGGCCCCAAAACCCTATTCTAAACCCTAAACCCTAAACCCTAAACCCTAAACCCTAAACCCTAAACTATTTAGGCCCCTACTACTTTGGGAGCCGGGTCTGGAAGTTCACCCCCTGGAACCTCATATGCACACCCGGAGAGTGCTGGGTTTCGGAAAGGGCCCATGCGTCCATAGCGTTCAATGTAGGGTTTAGGGTTTAGGGAGGGGCTTTAGGGGTTTAGGGCTTAGGGGTTTAGAGTTTAGGGTATGATTAATGTAGGGGCCTTAATAAATTTGACTAGGGTTTTGGGGGTTCCTCATTACAAAGACAGTATAGTATACCCCAAAGCCCTATTCTAATTTTTAAGGCCCCTCTATTAGTTAGGTATTCAGCCGTGGCCAGTGCAGGAGGGTTCAGGGGCTGAGAGCGTGATTTGGGTAGTTTTCTAAATTATGGTCCCTTTTGGGGTCCCCTAAATAATAGGTGCCGTATTATAATAAGGACCCAAAAAGAGACCATAATTTTGACAACCACCCACTTGGGTTCCGGTTCTAAGTCTTCGGAGTTCAGCGCGCAAAGAGAGGCTAGTCGACGGAGCGCTGCGGTCACGTCTGCAGGCCACAACTCTCCGCATGGGGCCTGCTGTCTGTCTTGAAACATGGGGGTTTCCGAAAATAGGGGACCCTGATATAGTACCCTAAATAATAGGATCCTTATTATAAGGACCCCAAAATAAGGTACCCCCTATTTTCGGAAAGTCCCACATGCCTGTTCTCGTGTTGTATACCAAGGCTTAGGGTTCGATTTAAGTACGCACGGCATGTCACGCATTGCGGGTCTTTACATGTTGTTGCACCCTTGTTTGGAAATTTCGTACAAACCTTGACCCCAGCACCAGAACCCTAAACCCTAAACCCTAAACCCTAAACCCTAAACCCTAAACCCTAAACCCTAAACCCTAAACCCTAAACCCCAGCACCAGAACCAGTTAAAACCGAAAACCCTAAAACCCACACCATGGAACCTATCACTAAGACAGCCTGGGAGCCGGCTTAGCAGCTGCAGAAGTAGAAGTGGTGGTAGTGGTAGTAGTAGTAGTAGTAGTAGTAGTAGTAGTAGTAGCAGTAGTAGTAGTAGTAGTAGTAGTAGTAGTAGGAGCAGGAGTAGTAGGAGCAGGAGTAGTAGTAGCAGTAGTAGTAGTAGTCGTCGTCGTCGTAGTAGTAGTAGTAGTACTTGTTGTTGTTGTTGTTGTTGTTGTTGCTGCTGCTGTTGTTGTTGTGGTTGTGGTGGTTGTTGTTGCTGTTGTTGTTGCTACTGTTGCTGTTGCTGTTGCTGTTGCTGTTGCTGCTGTTGTTGCTGTTGCTGTTGCTGTTGCTGTTGCTGTTGCTGTTGCTGTTGCTGTTGCTGTTGCTGTTGCTGTTGCGGTTCAGTTGCTGTTGCTGTTGCTGTCGCTGTCGCTGTCGCTGTTGCTG